GTTTCTGCAAGGAAGCCCTGTCTTCTGCCTGACTCTGAGCGCTAGGCTTCTCCATCCAAGAGGCCTTATGCACCATACCTAGCTTTTGAGTTGAAAATTTGGAAAAATAACAATTTTTTAATCCATTTTTTGTCTGTACTAGATCATTTTAAATTATCCTGCAGTGTGACAAATTTATTTAAAAATGAAATATTTTTAATAGGGCTGTCAAATCGATTAATAGTGATTAATCACATCCAAAATAATTATTTATGTTTACATAATGTATGTGTGTGTGCATTATATATATAAGAAATACATGTAATATCTATTGATATTTATATATAACATAAATCTTACATAAATATGAATATATGTACAGTATCTCACAGAAGTGAGTACACCCCTCACATTTTTGTAAATATTTTATTATATCTTTTCATGTGACCAGTATGAGAGAGTGAGAGCGATAACACCAAATTTAACACACCTGCTCCCCATTAACACCTGAGACACTAGTAACACTAATGAGTCACATGACACCGGGGAGAGAAAATGGCTAATTGGGCCCAATTTGGACATTTTCACTTAGGGGTGTACTCACTTTTGTGGCCAGCGGTTTAGACATTAATGGCTGTGTGTTGAGTTATTTTGAGGGGACAGCAAATTTACACTGTTATACAAGCTGTACACTCACTACTTTACATTGTAGCAAAGTGTCATTTCTTCAGTGTTGTCACATGAAAAGATATAATAAAATATTTACAAAAATGTGAGGGGTGTACTCTCTTCTGTGAGATACTGTACATGTAAATATTTCTTAAATATATACTGTACATGTATGCATGTGTATTTATATATACATATAAATATATACACTGCACACACATATATTAGGTAAACACTAAAAATGTTTATTTTGGATGCGATCAATTGCGATTAATCTATTTGACAGCCCTAAACATAAAGTATATATACTATGTATAATATTTATCATAGTACAAATGTAAAAGTCCAAATATTCCATTTATTTATTCAAATAATGAGTAATATTAAAATTACAAGTAAAATAATTATAAAAAATTATAATCTATAAGAGTATAACTTGTTATATCTTGGGACATGTCAACTGCCCATAAATACTGCTCATCATGTGATCTGGGGCTACAGTGTAAATTTTGAAAGAAGGCAGTGATGTAATAAAAAATATAAAGGTCATTTCTACTCTCTTTGATATGAGGAAAATTGAATAATGTTCAGAGGCAAACCTCGGTCCCCTTGATAGAGCTGGACTCTGGAGAGGAAGGGAGCGTGAGTGTCTCCTCTGATTGGTCCAACAGGCTCTGGGCCGTATGCGCAGGTGGGGGGAGAGGATTGTAACCATCATCCTGTGGTTCGGTGCAAATGTGCATATTATAGGAGACAGTTGGCTGGACAAAGCCTGGAGTGAACGTGCCTGAAAAAAATGGGAAAATGACGTATTACGTATTATAATACGTAATCTGATTGTTTGAGTATGTTTTTACTTTATAGGTCAGTGAAATAATACCTTTTGGGGTTTTAACAACTGGGGTGTGCACTGTTGTATAGTCTAGTGGACAAATCAAGTTGTTGCTCCTGAGAAGCTCACTGTCCACACACCACTTGAAAGCTGATTTAACTTTGGAGACATAGAGGACTCTTCACAGGGTTTTGATGTCATAAGATACTAACTAACTGACCGACACACTGGATAGTAAAAATAATGGTTGTTTAAATAAACATAACTAGAGAAACCTACCTGGGGGAAGACCCAGCTGATAGTAGGCCTCACCCACTTCTTCAATGATTCTGCTGTGATCGTGCTCCTCCTTTGCAGCAGCTTGCAGTCGGGCCTGTATAATGTGTGTCTCCAGCATGTCAGCATTCTGAATCCGTCTGTTGTATTCAGAATGCTCCTGATAAAATCATAAAAATTCAATTTAAAAAGCATAATCTAGATAAAATAAGAATTGAATAAGAATTAAGGAGCCAACACTAGGGGATCAGTAAGATTTTTTATATGAATGAATATACTTTTTATTCAGCAAGGATTAAAAAGATCAAAAGTGACGGCAAAAACATTTAGTGTTACAAAAGGTTTCTATTTTACAGAAATGCTGTTCTTTTGAACATCCTATCCATAAAAGAATCCTAAAATTTCTGTTTAAAAAACATTTACAACTTTTATAAACATATACATCACATTTTATAAGAGAGACTTTGCTCAGATGTGAAGAGAGGCACCTGCTGTAGCTCTTCCACAAATTTTTCATGGTAGTTGTTGCTTCCTCTGTGTGATTTACTAAGATTAGAAACAGTGTCCCTCCCAATCACCTCTATGGTGTAAAGGTCGTTGAATATGCTGGCCAGTAGATGAGAAATGTCCTGTACACACAAGACAGGTTTATTTAATGGTAGTTCACACAAAAATGAAAATTACATAATTCCTAAAACATTTTCTATTACATAACATCTAATTTTGGGTTCAACGGAATACAGGTATACAGTCTGAGACAACATGAGGGTGAGTAAATGATGACACGATTTTGCCAGTGTGACAAATGTACTACTAGTCAAACTGTTAAAATAACCATCAGTTGCAGTGTTCAGTAGTCATTCTCTTACCTGAGTTGTATTGGATGCTGGTTTGTGTCGGTTCATGGAGGGTTCAGAGCTCTTTAGTCCTTTTGGTTCAGTTTCATCGGCCATTGTTTTACCAAACGTAATTTAAACGTAATTTTATATTTTAAGCTCCGGCACGTGGTGCGTAGCGAAGGCGGTTTATGGTGATATTTTATGGAAACGTGCCATAAATGCTCATATGTCTCGCTATAAAACTTAAAGGCAGAAATAATACATACACTAAATGGCACCATGGAGAAGTTCCCTTTACTACATTGACAGCCATGTTTGTTTAGGACGTCACCATAGTAACAGAGCGAGCCTCCCAGAGGAGCCTCCTAAAAGCTCCGTAACCAAAGCGATTTCTTAAATTATCTTAACAAAAGAGACATTAAAAAAGGCAACTAAAACATTTGGACATTTAAGCAACTAAATCTATACTACTTTTTTGTGGTCAAGAATTTTTTTATTTAGCAAGAATGCATTTAATTGATCAAAAGTTGATCAAAAAAGATCAACAGCTTTGCTGTCACAAAAATAAAATATATATTTTAAATATATTAAAATAAAAACAGTTATTCAAAATGATAATAATATCCCTTAAGAAAATTAACCATGGTTTTACTACAAATAAAACCAAAAAACATGTTTACTATAATTATACCATGGTAACCACAAACTAACAATGGTTTTGCTACACTAACCATAGTTTAACCATCGTATTTGTAGCAAAACTGTGGTTATACAATTGGTAATCAATACAGCAAAAAAGCATGGTTACTACACCTTTAATACATTTACATTACATTTAGTCATTTAGCAGACGCTTTTATCCAAAGCGACTTACAAATGATGACAATGGAAGCAATCAAAATCAACAAAAGAGCAATGATATGCAAGTCTCTGTTAGCTTAATGCAGTACATGTAGCAAGTTTTTTTTTTTAATTATATAATAAATAAAAGGAAAACAGATAGAATAGAAAAAGAAAAGAGCAAGCTATTAGAGGCCTTTTTTGCTTTTTTGTATAATAAATAAAAAGAAAAACAAATAGATAGAATACAAAAACATTAGAGAAGCTATGGCACAATAAAGCGACGTTCACTTGCAAGAACGCAAGCTTCTAGAGGGCACATAAGTCTGAAGTAATGAATTTAGGTAAAGGGGTGCAGAGCCAGTGGTGGTTTTGTAGGCAAACATTAATGCCTTAATGCGAGCAGCTATTGGTAGCCAGTGCAAATTGATAAACAGAGGTGTGACGTGCATTCTTTTCGGCTCATTAAAAATTAATCTTGTGCCGCCTATTAATACAGTAAAACCATGGTTAATTTCACATTATTACTGTATTTACTGTATTTTCTTCAAATAAATGCAACCTTGGTGAGTGTAGGAGACTTATTTAACCACAGACTATAAAATAAGTAAATATGTTACTGATATTATACCTATGCAACATGGCCAAAATTTTATGACGTAACGTTACCCAATCCAAAAATAACATGCACACCTCTACATACCTGAAGATCGGGTATGGCTTGACAGTTTTAAAGGGTGTGCTAAAAGTTGCCAGGCAGGATGATTTTCAAAATCCCCATCATCATAAAGCAAAGAGACTCTATGAGCTGTATGCTACTGGACTTTGCTTCACACCCTACTTGGCTCTACGACAAAATTAGATCACTCTTGTTCAGTTATTGTGAAGACAGATTGATTGGAAGTGTTCCGATTTTGTCCCATCATGTCACCAGATGCAACACAGTCAATAAATCACTAATATGTAACATGTAATACTAAACAAATAAATAGCCTTTCATTTATAAAGTCCCATATTCAGATAAATCCACCCAGAAGTGGAACATAAAAACAAAACAAGAAAACAAGGTGAAGTCTTACAGACCCCCATGGATGTTATAACAATTAATCACTTGCATTGAAATGAAACATTGTTCAACCTGAAAACACTGAATGTAAATCAAAGACGGACTTTTATTTCCTTACACCTATGATAAGATAATGTTGTGCTTATGAAATTAAGAATGTCTGATTAAGAATGCAGCTGTAGCCAGCACTTAGGTTTTATTCATTTTAAGTCTTTGAACAGCACTCTCAAGAGTGGCATTACAGGACAAGAGTGGAATTCTGAAGAAATTAATCAAAACCATCTGTAGCCACGGACAAGAGCTACTTCTGGAAATCACCAAGAAAGCAGACACGTCTCTGATTTAGGCTACACTTTAGTCGTTCATAATGGGTGGAAACAAATAACACTTTTCAGGGCATCGTTGAGAGATACTTGAAAGACCGGTGTTGTTGTTGTTGTGGGTGTTGGCGAATTCTCGATACTGCGCTAGTAATAGGCGGGTTCCACACACACACACACACACACACACACACACACAACAACAGCGCATTGGACTTTCCTGTCAGTGGATTGTTTAGGACACGGGCTTTACACATCCCAGTCAGTATCTGGGCGGCTCTGAGTGGCTTTGTGACGCGAAAGGTCTTTTCCCAACTTTAATATACAACAACTGAAAGAAAACGCTAAATAAAACAACAGAAAGAATCATGGAAGCCAATGGAAATGCCGGCATATTCGGTAAGTTTTGCAGTGATGTCATGATTATTCCGCGCGAGAAGTGAATGCATTTGATTTGAAGAGTCAACAGGCTATTCATATATGGCTATATGAACACCATAATGTGAACATTTGAATGTTAGCTACAATACCACAGACTTTATACAAAGCAATTTGCTCTGAAACTCAATTTGTAAGATATTTTACCTTGTTTTTTTGCTTTCGCGAGGTTCTTTTCACAGTCATGCGGCGTGTAATGACCGTCTTGTTTATTGTTTCACACTCAGAACTGCTTATTAAACGTAGAGGTGCCTCATAGAACATTTCCCATCACTTCAGGAGTTTGCTGACTTGTCCTATATCTGAGAACTTTAATACTCAGCTTTAATAGCTTTAATAAAAACAGATGCATGAGTTCACAATAAAACCGTCATTTATGATAATTGCAGTTTACAAACAAATACACTTGGAGTTAATGTAGCTTATATATTGTATGGTTATATACAGCGTCGGCGCCACGGGGGGGCCAGAGGGGGCCTGGCCCGGCCACCTCGGTCACTGTGCCCCCTCACCTCTGGTGCCGTCTCCGTAGTGGGCGCCCTGATTTTAGTCGGTGAGGCAAGGTACTGCCCTGGGAAGGAATATTTGTATCTATAGGCCTCTATACAGCAAAACTACAGAGCTTCCAGTAGGTTATTTTACGGAGCTGTAAACACGGGAATCTCCGACCGCATGCAATCTTTGACGAACACCCAATTCATATATCAAATTAGGCTATGTTATTAAATTGTACATAGGCTATATATCAGATTATTTTATTTACAAGTTTCATGTTTGTGTTTATCCCGTTTTTTCCCCCGCTGCATCTGAAAATTACTTTCAGAAATTTTTTTTTTTGTGCGGCCCCCCAACAAATTGTGCCTGCCCCCTTACTTTGTGCTCTCTGGCGCCGACCCTGGTTATATATAACATATTCTTTTCGTGGACCTTCACTTACACCAACACACATTCAGCATGACGTTAACTAATGTAACACGAGGATTCAACCAGATGAAGGCGCCCTATGCCAAATTACATTTGAGTTAGTGATTCATCAAAGTGACTCGTATCTTTGAATCGTTTCCCTAAACGATTCATTTAGATTTCGCTTACTGATTTGTTCAAATCACATCTACATAGATTCCATAGAGAGTTTATGTTTATTACTTCAATAAAGCTATAAGAATACAGAAATAGCTAAAAATGGATAACTGTTTATTAACGTTCTCTCTTTGTTAAAGAGTTTAACTCACAAGCTGAACTGAATTGAAAGACATGCCGCCACTTCAGTTGGATGTAGATATCCAGTTTATTCAGTTTGTCTCATTTAATACCGCTATTAGTCTTGACTCGTTCAGTGAAGGGGGCTGTTCGTTGAGCAGGTCCAGCCAATGAAATGCTCCATCACAACCAGCCTGGAATGCTATTGGTTCGCGTTTTGGTCAGCAAACCTGCGCTTTAAACGGGAGAAACTTCAGCAAACTAAATAGCTAGGAGTCAAACCAGACCGATTCTTCCATTTAAAAGATTTGTTCAAAACCAAAGATTCTTCCATAAGCGAAAAGCCTCAAGGGAGAAGCCACGTTTGTAGACATCAGGCAAAATGTAAAGGTTACACGGAAACCTCTTATCAGGAGGACACAATGGGTTTGCAGGCCGAGAAACGGAACCAACTGACAAAAATATTACACATGTTGTTATTACAGCATTATATATATATATATATATATATAT